CTATATATTCAGATTTTTATCATGTTTTGAGTGAGAATTTTGTTCAAAAGTGAGATTTTGAAATGCCACCTGTAGGCCTGGGCTAAAACTTCCAACAATTGTTCAATTGTCTCGATATCTTTCCTTAGGAGTTGCCCTGAACTTTATAAACGTTTAAGTCACTTCAGCAGAAATCAAAAATCAAGAAATTTAGTAAATTGATGGCGAATCGAATTTTTCTAATATATTCGGCCATGAACTTTCGAAGGCTAATTTTTGCCTTTAGATTAATGCTTGTCTTTATAACGTTTTATTGGAGAGCATAAGATAAGCTGAGATAATCATTACAAACTAAGGATAGAGAGTATCGGAAAACAAGTTTTTTTTTCTTTTTAAAACCGTAACCAGCAGCGTTAAATATTCACTGAACACGCGGCATAACTTTTTAAGGCCATGTCCGCACTAGTAATGAGTTATCCAAAAAACCTCCGATTTTCGCGATCACAAAAACGGCAACGAAACTATGGATGTCCATACTTGCGTTTAACCTTCGTTTTCGACAGTCAATACTAAACTCGGAAAAACACATTTCTGGAGTCAAATTTTTCCTCCCAGGGTATTCTAAAGGTAGTGTTAGGCCGCGAAGTCAGCGTATCAGTTCGTAAACCTTTGTTTTTTCTCTTTATACTTAGCCGTTGACTTCCATTTTGAAAAGTCTCCACCTTTGAGGACGCTTTATGAAAACATCGGGTTTTTTTATCGTTTTAGTGTGGACGAAAAGCCAAAACGCATTAAAAGTAGGCGTTTCCAAAGAATTATGCGTCAGTGGGAAGCCGCCATAGATTCACTTAGTGAGTAAATCGAGCGCAAATTATTAGTATACTACGACGTGAGTGCGTTATGATTTTTAATTGTTGCTAACCCATGTATTAGAGCTGTGGTTCAGAATAGTTGCAATACCTTTATCGTGCCATTAAGTTAATGCCAATTGTAATTGTTGTTTTACAGAGTTCTCAAACAGGCTGTTATCAAACAGATCATTTTCAGATCGCTTGTTCACAACGCGCTGTGGTTTGGTACTAAGAAACAACAGCAATCGTTCAACTATGACTGCTTTAAAATCGCGGACGGGTGATTTGTTTCCTGTACAATCGAGTTTTTCCAACCTATAGATTCAAAGCATAGCCTCGGTTATTCATATCACGTCACATTTATTAGGACGTAATTGCCTTCAACTGCTTGTACGCAATCTCAGCGTGTTGCGTGGCACAGTGATCAGGTTTTTGATGTTACCCATAGCTTAGTAATATTGTATTAATTTTAACCTAAATAAAAGGAGACATTAAGTGCAATTGCTGATCTCAATGATTTCAAAAAATATTTCAAAAAGACACTTACACTTGCACTTCCTCGACAGAGGTCCTGAAGACATCGTGGATTAGGGATGGTAGTTTTCCTTTTAGTTTGTCGTCAATTCTCACACTGGGTACCATCTTAGTAGCTAGTAGCTTACTTAACTTTTTTTTTTCAGAAAGAATTGTGGTAATTTTGAGTGCTATAACAAAAACGCATTCACTAGCAATAGCTATCGCCAAGTGCCAACGAGCAAATATTTTTCCCTTTACGCGCGCCCTGTTCAATTTGTTTAGAAATGTCATGAATTACCATAATTTACGAAACATAGTTTGAACTCAATTCGATTGCATAAGCAAAAATTACCTTGAAAATAGTGAACTAAACTGTTTTACTGCATAAAAAATTTGAAATCCCGACTTTACATAGCATAGTTTTCGAGATACTGAAGTTCGTGTTTTTGTCCAAAGTTGCGCACAGGTCATTTTAAATTTAGTGGTCTTTTAAGCGAACTTACTAGAATCCTTGAAAAATCACAATACGAATACGAATATTACGTACGCTAAAAGGTCAAGCAACCCTGTCAGCTCAAGACAAACTGATAATGCCAAATTCGGGGTATAAAATAAAACTCAGGGTATTGCAAGCCAGTTCCTTTTTTTTTCAGGCTTGGCTCTCGATCAGTAAGAGACAAGCTCTCAGGAAAAAGATGAATGGGCCAATCACACTATTCTTTTGAGGTACCTCTTACACTCTATCAACTATAACGTGGGCTTCGATATCTTGAACCCCTAAAATGTACTTTTATCTCCAGCTTAAAATCAATTCAGAACCAGAACTTTAAGATGGTAAGTGGATTCTTTTTTTTTTAAGTGTATATATCACAACGTAATTTCTGCCTAATGGCCAGGTCTGAACACGGGTATGGATTTTAGAGGTCGGGTCTGAAAACGGATGTGGAAAATGACATTTTCTGAAATAGGGTCAGGATTTGGAGAACCGGCGGCACACCCACACCAAGAATTCACGGGAGTACCCCCCGGGTTCTTCGGCCATTTCAACTTCAGTAAAAATAAAACACAAACAGCGGTAACAAACATGATGAATCAACACATGTTGCAAAAAACTAAGATTTTAAAGACTTCAGTGGCGTTTCGTGTGTAAAACATACAGATTTAGAAGTGACGGTTAAAAAGATTACAGTAAAATTTAGGGACGGACCATTAGAAAAGTTATGGGGGAGGGGGGTGGGGAATTTTTGATGAATTTTATTTAGGCCGTAGCATGAATATTTTTTAGGCGTAATTGGCGTGCATGAATTTTGTTTTCCATTTAATTTTTTCTTTCGCGAATATGTACTCTGTACTTCGCCCCCCCCCAGCCTCCATAAGGTTTCTAATGGTCCGTCCCTTAAACATCTAGAAAAAGACTAGACCTTAATAAACAGGTAAAAACAAATGATGATGACATACTAAATTTGAAGTCAGCAGGAAATTATAATATGTGCTGCTGGTAGAGACAAAGTCTTTCACTCGCAACATTTTCGTTTAAAGCAGGCTTTATTAAATCTCGAATCAACAAAGTTTTTTTTATTCTACAATGTATATTTGATTTCCGGGTTGTTAAATGGGAACACTTTGAGATATTTTTTGACAACAAGGAAATCGCAGATATACATTGTAGAATAAAAGAAACTCCATTGAAGAGAAACATAGAGGACCAAGTTGCAATCAGTGGAATGTGCTCTTAAAACTCGTTAACGTGCAGCGTATAAATACCCCTGAACTAATGAATGATGGGATCTGGTGTGAACTACCGGTACGGTTCTTGTGTCAATCCGCTGGGGATTGCACGTGGTCAATCGCACTCGAACTTCATGCTAGGGTGTATTTTAGTTGGAAAGGTTGCTGATTGGTCTTTTCATATCATGGGGAGTTCAGCCGTCTTCAAGTGTCAAAATACATAAAATGCAGCGCATACACCTGCACATCACTGTATATATATTGTTTGATAACATGTAATATCAAATCTTTGCTCATTGTCTCGAAAATATCTCATATTTCCGGAAAAATTTCCCAGGTTTCCCGATTCCCGGCAAAATCTTCAGATTCCCGGAATAAATTTGCTTTTCTCCCGAAACAGCACTTGTTAGAGCTGTCATCCTCCGTATAGAGGAGAACAAGATAGAGGTGCTGATGAAAATACTTTTTGGGTTATGGGCTCCTGTTTAAATTTACTCTCCTTAAACGTACTGATCAACACAACTTCTCTACATCTATATTTATCGTAAGAAACTTTTACAGGTCTGTTTACCAAGTGGGATTCATTCACACCTAGGAAATACGAGATCAATCTTGTCCGCACACTTGCTTTCCGTTGTTATCGTATTTGTCCGGATTTGATCACCTCCTCTTCTCTTACAATCATCGCTTAACTCATTAGCTACCGTATTTATTCGATTAATCACCCTGGGCGCTTATCAAATTTTTGACCTTGAGAGTGGGCGCTTATTCGAGGTTGGGCGCTTATAATATTTTCACCCTTTTCAACAAGTGCAGTATGTATAAATGGTAATAACAAACGTGAAGATGTAACAAAGCAAGGTTTCTGCAAAACACTCTGATGAAAACTCCGTCTTCGGGGAAGTCTCTTATTAGTACTTATTCCTTTTTTCGGGTGTTAGCGGGAAGTGGGTGGGCGCTTATTTGAGTTTGAGTGGGAGTGGGAGGGAGATGGGGTGGGGTGGGGGTCGGCGCTTATTCGAGGCTGG